CTCTGCAGTAGCTGTTTGATCTCTCAAGAAGGAAAAGCTTGGAAACAGATGATTGCAAAAAGAGAAGGAGAAGATCTTTGCTTTGTGTTTTGCATAAAAGCAACTGATAAGCTCTCTCTCAGTGTTCATCCTTCTGTCTTCTACTACTCTCTCTACAGCTTCAAGCTTATTCGTCAAAGTACCTGCAAATGATTCGTGTGCACTTGGCTTGAACAGAATGCAAGAATTAGAAGAACGGAGAAATTGGTTGAAAGCTTAGAAGAGTCATCGGCAACAAGTTTTTGCTTAATTTGAACAATACTGAATAAACTATTTCAGGTGTATTCAGCTAAGTAATGGCTTTAAGGGTTGACTCATAGAGTGGGTGGCATCTGATAGTAAGAGGGAGAGGGGTATGAAGGTAGAACAAGGTAAATGGGTTGTAGTGAGAGAGTATAACAGATGAGGAGAGTAAGAGAACGTCGATGAGGAAAGGCCTTATTGGTCACAACAGCAAATCATTGTAATGTAGATTGATGGAGATTCAATCATCGTTCCAGCTTCTGCCAATGGTCAGCTCTTCCTGGTTTGCAGCTAAACAAATCATTCCATCCATATTAATTCTTGATCTTCGACATCGTTCATTTTTTTCCCCAAAAATTCAAAAGATGCGAATATTTAATGGGAAAAAAATATTTGGATAAAAAGCCTTATTATTATTATTGTTGAAGAAGAAGAAGAAGAAGAAGCAGAAGAAGAGGGAAAGATATGAATGAGAGGGAGAGAGAGAGAAAGAGAGAGGGAGAGACCGAACTTTGAACTTCATGAACGGGCTGGAGGGAGGGTGGAAAGCTGCCTTATATGAAGAATTTGCAAAAGACAATCATCGTCATTAATGAATACTTTCAAAAGAAAGCTTCACCTCCGGAAGTTACCGAAGTATATGCATGAAGTACCTTAAATTCTTTTAATTCTGATGATTGACGACGTCATCTGCAAAAGCGTCCATGAGAAGGGTGGATTGAAGCTGCTGGGTGGTGGCGGGTGAAGGGGGATAAGAGCAAAGGAAAATGCGAAGATGAGAGTTTTGATCGTTTTGACATCTCGCTTATATATGAAAATCATGAATATTTTGAAAGTGATGGAACATTTGCGTGTCATTTGATTTGAGCCGTTCTCTCCAATAAATTAGAAATTTTTCTTTTTTCTTAAAAAAAAAAAGAAGAGAAAGAGATATACAGAGAGAGAGAGAGAGAAGAAGAAGAAGAAGGAGGAGGAGGCGGTGATGATGATGTCGAGTCTACGAAGTACATTCGTACGTTCGTTTCTTTCATTCAATTTTGGCAAACATAAAGTCTTTTAAAAAGTATTTGTTGAAAGAGAAAAATGAAAAAGAGACGTTGACTGAGATATTTTGGCGAATAAGCACTTGTTGTGTGTCTCTCCATGATTGTGATTGGAAAAAGATGGAAAAAGAGCTATCAAAAGCTGGCAAGGACAAGAAATCAAAAGGTACTTGTCGTCGTCGAAGCTGTTGGCAAGCTTAACTCGAAAGCTTTGAATGGAAAATTTCTTTTTTCACTTCTCCTTCATTCACTTTGAATGGAAATTAAACAGTTTTCCTTGCTTTCTCTTTGCAAGAGCTGGCAAAACATTGCACACAAAAAAAAAAGAAAAATGGTGGTCGTGTGATCTCCTGTGGCAGACAATGACAAGCTCTCAACAAGCTGGAGGAAAGGTAGGGAGCGATAGAGAAGCTGCAGCGAGATATCTTAAGAGCTTCATGGAACAGTGGTTGCTATCATCAACCACTCAACTTCCCATTATGCAAATTCAAAAGAATTTGTTTGAATCATTTATTTACTTCTTATGGTCATATGTGTCACTTTTTTTGTTTCACCGCAGATCCTCATACGTCATCCTCAACATCTCCCTGTCTCTCTCTATCTCTCTCTCATTCTTCTCTTTATCCTTTAGCCTGCTCTCTCTCTATCATTCTTTCTCGGGTCGTACCTCCTTCTCAACCAGGAATTATTTATTCCTCGAGTTTATTGACCAATTTTTCCCCTTATCTCATAGATTTTATTAAATTTTTGTTTTGAAGCAGAGCACCTTCATTGGAAGGAACCAGAAATGCGTCCGGGAGATTATAACGAACGAAAGCTTTTCATATTCAGAATAGTAGGAAGTGAACAGGAGAGGGAGAGGGGAGGGGTTGTATATGGAAGAAGAGGATGATGATCGGTATGATTAAGTATGATTATGATGAAATTCGGTTTGATTCCCCTTTGACTGATAATTTCATTAATGGCGAGGACAGTTTATCAGAAGTAGATTAGGAGAACACAGCTAGTAGGACAAGACCTTGAAATGTTCCGGGGTGTGGACAAGTATGGAAAGGCTGAAATCAGATAGAAAGTCACACGAATACACAACTTGAAAATCTTTTTTCCGTCTTCTTCTTCTCATTCATCTTTTTTGTGCAAGAAATTAGGATATTTGAAGATTTAAAAAGAGTTTTTGCCTCCAAATTTTCATTTTGCAATCGCCCATAGACATCTGTCGTCGTAGAGATTTCGGACAAAGACAAACTCTTTCATTTGAACGTTTTGACTCCTTATTTGGACATCTAATCTTTTGTATATCTCTTTCAACAACACCTTTTAACCTGATTACCTTTAGATTCTCACAAAGTCCAACCGAATTTGTCTTTCTAACCTATTCGCATTTCCATGTCGGCTTCAGCTATGCGACAGTTACTTCTGATCGCAGCTCTCATCCGTAAGTCATTTGAGGATTTCTTCTTCTAACTTCTTTCATTGTTTAGATTTACTGAATGGACAACAATACCAGCCATCATACGGTGAGTCGATTGTAACAAGCTTCTTCCTTCAATAACTATCATATTGAAGTGATGTCTTCATCTTGGTCGATGTGGTCACCATGGTCATTCTGTTCTCATGGAGTTATGATAAGAGTTCGAGCATGCTCAACTGTTCGTGGCTTCAAGTGTATTGGTCACAATAAGGTAATTATGATTGTTTTCATAAGAAATTCAAAAACCATGTTCATTATCGTCATTACCGTCTTGTGCTTAGCATCACCAAGGTCATTTTGAGTCGGCCATCTCTTCAGATGACCCACAAAATCATTTTGGGGGGTTTTGAAACAGCTGATTACTGACCGCGAAACAAAAGTTTTGATGTAAATTAAAACATTAAAACGATCATCTTCTTATCCTTTTCCTTCCGACATTTTTCGGCTTTTTATAGGAATTTCAATCATGCGATTCGAGAGCAAGCAATCCCAAGAACTTGGACTACAGTAGTGAAGAGAACGATAGGTAGGAACATCTTCATGCATCAGTTCAATCCTCCATTCTTATAGAGAATTAGCCATGCATCAGCTGTATGATGATTATGATAATGACGCGGCTGCTCCACAGAAGACTGCGCCAGGTATTCCAACACACGGCTACTAATAGATTGAACCTCCAATCTTAGAGCTAATGAAGAAAACTCCTCTGAAAACACGTAAGCCAATCATCTTCACTACCACGACTGAAGCTGCTCCCACAACTACCTCGACTACCACTACGACCACCACTACCACTGAAGCTCCTTCCACAACCACTGAAGTTTTTAATGAGCCTGAAGAGATGCCAGGTTCGCTTCACTTTCACCTTTACTATGATTTTTAACCCTTTCTGCTTATTCAGACATGAGCGTCATGACTAGTAATTTGAAATTCAACATGAAACCATCGAATGAGCAAAGAGGTGAAGAGTTCGTAGAAGACGAATTCCTGACGCCTTCCATCGAAAAGGTCATCGAGCCTATAAAGGTGAGTCCGGAGAAGTTATACTTATCTCTCTATATTCTGTTTCAGACTACCACCACTGTAAAACCACTTCGATACTACAAAGCTTCTTATGTTACAAAGCCTCCAGCACCAGTCAATCAGCCAAAAGAGTAATCAACAGAGTTGCTTAATTGCTTATATCGTATTAGTTTCAGACAATATCAAAACCCAACTGCTCAAATCGTAAGAGCTCGTAATTGGGCAGCCCCTTCAACAACTGCTGCTCCTGTTTCGGTAAAGTTTATCTTTATTAAGCTCTCATCGTATTAGCTACAGGAGACTGAACGTAGTCAGTTTGCTTACAACAGCAATGAGTTTGAACTTGGAGCCCCAACAAGGAAGTCCTATCCAATAGCAACTGACGTTGATGTGTTTGAAGACTCAAATGTTAGAAAAATAACACATGAAGAAACCGATTTGGGAAATGAAAAATCCAAAGCATTCGCTAGTGAAGGTACATCCTCCTTGAACAGCTGGTCGGTGAACGGAATCGAAGAAAACAATGACGAACCTGTCGAAATAGTTGAAGTTGTTCGACCTACAACAACATCAACCACAAGTACAACAACCACAACGGAAGCTTCAACAACTTCAGAATTCTTACCAGAATATGAAACGACATCTGTCAAGCCACGCAGAAAAATGAAAGGTAAAGGAAAAAAAAGCCGCTTAGAGAGGTAATCAATCTTACTTCTGAAATCGCATACGAACTTGCTTTGAAGATTGCGTCGTCTGAATGAGAGAGCCAGAATAAGAACATTAGCTGTGATCGCCACGCAAAGAGTTTGTATAGTCTTCTTACCTTTCCTCATAATCGTTATTAAAGAACCCCAAGTTCAACTCTGGCGAAGTTGGTCCAAAAGACTCTGAAACTGAAGTTCAAGAAACAACGGTAAGTGACTGTAATCCGGGAAACCTATTCATGTTGTATTTGTCAGACTGCTCTAATCACTGATCTACCAGTAGAGAATCCAGATGACTTCCAAGACGATGTAAGTTTTCTGAAACAAGTTGATAAAGCTCATGTTCTCAACACCTTGAATGTTGCACAGCTTGTATCCGACCGCTTTCCTTAATTTATAATGAATGAATGAAACTTCACGTCACGTGGATCTACAGCGACTCACGTTCTGTCACGTAAAACTATTTTTTATTTTCAGATGCTGTCCGGTGATACAGCTCGAGCTTTATCATGGCTCTTGGCAAACATGACTGCTTTGGTAGATGAAGGAGGGGAAAGCCCCATAGTTGATTCCATTCCACTCGAGAAGATTATCAGCGAACCAGCATCTTTCTCAATTTCAGTATGTTGTTTGTAGTAGAAGAAGAAAATAAAAAATATTTTCAGAAAGGAGAAGGTGAGCCTTCGACTGAGGCAACTCCAGTAGAAGAAGTAACAGAGGAACATCCTACAGATGAAGGTATGTCAAATCAAAACCTGAAAATGATTGAAATCTAACTGTCTCTTCTGCTTGCAGAAATCTGGTCAGATTGGTCAGGATGGTCTTCTTGCAATTGCGGTTTTGCATACCGGAAGAGAACGTGCATCTCAAGTGAGCTTCCTTTTCAGGACTTTTGTTGATCATAAATCTTCAAAACTTTGTTTTTCGCTCCACAAACCTCAAATTTTGCATTTCCTTGTTCATAGTGAACTATCAATTTGTAATGAATTTTCATATTTCAGAACCTAATGGCTGTCAACTTCCTGAATATCATAAGAAGGCTTGTAAATCAGATGTCTGTAATCCCATTTCATAGATGTTCTTCCTCTCTTCTGTAGGAATCATTCTCTAGTTGTTATCCAAAAACATAATATAGATAATTATATAAACATAAGCTTTTCTCAAATCTTGACACTATGGGTACTAAGTTGTATGAGATCGTCTTCTCTTCTTGATTGTTCATTGTTTTCATTCTCTATCTCTCTATTCTCTTCATTCACTCATATCTCTTTCTCTCCTACACTTTACCTTTCCCCCCACTCTATCTTTCTCACACACTCTCTCTCTCTCTCTCTCTCTCTCTCTAATTATCTCTCGTAATAATAATAATCATTTGAAGAAATGAAATTTGTTCCAAATGGTCTATTAGCCGAGGCTAATCAACAATAAAAACTTTTTAACGATTTTATCATTTGAGATCTCCGTATTGCCAAGTACATCTCTGTTCTTAGCGACCTAAGAAGAGAAAAGAGAATTGAGGCCATTCGTTCAATGCGCTTAAGAGTGTTAAAATAAAATGACAAAAATTTCTTTTATTTGAACAACATGGCGACATGGCGTAGCAGCTTCATTGCGCAGCTTCATCGTCTTGAATTTCCAATGAGAATTTCAGATGAAAGATTGTTTTATTAAAATTTATTTCATATAAATATTTAAAATATAAGAAAGATATGATATTACTCGTTATTGAAGGCTATCTGTCTCCAACCACAGCAATGGCTTGAGAGAAGAGCAAAACTCAGAAAGCCATTGGGTTCAATGCAGTTCGAGTTGCTTTGAAATTCTCATAGAGGTAGTAAGCCCAGTAGATCACATTCAGAAGACAAAATGATGCCGGAAAGATTTTTCTGAATGACTAATTGTAGATAGGAAGAACTTCATTACTCATACCTGCAATACTTGTCAACTGCTTCAGCAGTCCACTTCTCTTCGATTTCCGTATCATCTGCTAGCAGGCCAAAAGAAGCCAAAGCATGCAGTGACTCGAAGACACTGTTGACCTGGTCAAAATTCTTTTTAACACTATTCAGACTCGTGAAGTAGAAAGCTACCTGGTGTCGTTCAATCATCCGAGGATCCCCATTCCTTTCAATGTCTGATTTGTTCTGAGCTTCTAACTCGAACAGCTGATCATTTGACACGGCGGTCGCTCCATAGCTCACACCATAATTCTTATTAGCTTTCCTCCTACAATTATAAGATGTTTTCGACATTGTATGAATGAAGCCTACTTTATAGCTTGCTTAGTTTGCAATAATTTGATTCGCTCCTTCTTCTTTTGGGCATGCTCCTTTTTCTTTTTCTGACGATTGGCTCCCTCTAAATAACAAACAAAGGCTACTTCCAACATCGTCAAGAAGATGAATCTGAAAGATCATATTCTAAATTTGAATACTTGGTTTTTCATGTTTGACGTGGTATTCACGTATACACCACTTTACGTGAAAAGTCATGTGCGTTTCGCCTACACTTTTCATTTTCAGACGCAAAGAGCGGTTGTGCACATTGTGCGAGAGTGTATGTGTATGTGAAGTGTGTAGGGGGGTGTCTTCCCATCCTAATTAGGATCAATTCAATTATCTTACCCAGTTGTTAGAACCATATATACATCCAATGATTTAACATAGCCAACTTTCGGCAGACTCTTTGCCACATTACCGTACTTCAAGATATATATATTATAAACAAAGATATAAATGAAATAAAACCTGAAAAGTGAGAGCCATCAACGAGCTGACACCTAATGTAATACGAGCAGGTAAAGCTTTGAGATCAATCCAGAACGATACGAATGAAAGAAAAACGGAAGCATATGTCGGCATATACATTTGAAGAATATAGAATCCATAAGCTCTTGAGAATGTGAACGATACTGTCAACTGCAAGGTACGTATAAGGATTATTCTGAATCAACCAGAGAGAATGATATCTACCTGATCCCATTGGCCTGCAGCATATTCAAAGTTATTCTTCGTCCACTGCAAGCCATACAACGTGAAATCAGCTAACTTCGATTTGGCTATAGAGAACACCTGAAACGTTAATATGATCGTGCTGCTTCCTCGTTTGATTTATAGTTTCTCTTCATAGCTGCTTCCGGAGCAGACATGTAGATGAATGTGAAAGAAATGGAAACAAACCGGACTCCATTCACGCCAGTTCAAAATTACTTTTGCAGCATTATAAGCATAACTTTCAATAACCAACTCACAAACCTTCAAATATATATATCTTTTATTTATTTTGTATTTTTTTCACCATTATATCCATCGGAAATAAGACGAGATCAACATTACATGGACTTTGTACTTGAAGTCGATAGTTTACCTTCAAGAGAGAAGAATAAGAAAAGCTCTTTTACATCTCAAGAATGAGATTCAGAATGGAATGATTGAGGAAGTAAAGCTTGCATCAGATGATTTTCAAAAGAAAAAGAAAGAAAGAAAAAAGCGATTTGCTTCCTTACCCAGACTGTTCCATTCGGAAAAATCATCAAAAATATGTTTGGGGTCGGAGACGAATGTATTTCAGTCTTTTTGGAATTGACAAAACACACATTTGGTGACCATAAACGATCCATCATCTTAAAAGAGTAGAAAACACAAAATACTCAGAAAGAGATAAATGGTTTGAGCTGAACTGGCTTACTTCATATCCAAGCGATAAGTTGGCTAAGCATGGAGTTAGATGATCAAACCTCAAACGAGGATCATGCCATATTTGACTGCAATAAAAAAGGAAATTCTATAACAAGATGTAATGAATGACCTGAACAGAAGATCAAGCTTGAAACTGGCTGACATCTCCGAGATATGATCAATACTTTGAATTACAAATTCTATGTTGACAACAGTTGCATTCTTGGATGGAAGCATCTGCTTGTTGTATCCGCTCTCGAACAGTTTGTCCATAACATGCTGAGAGATATCAGCTTCAGATTCCGATTCTCTGTAAGTAACAAGAAGGTTAAGAGGATCAAGGAGAATAAGGGTTGGGAGAGAGATTAGTTAGAGGAGTCATTACCTGCACAAATCAGTTGACTTCATGAAAGCCATATGAGCTTGTCCTATGGAAAATATTAAGGTGACTATGTTCATAGTTGATTTTCACATATACGGAATTTATGGTAAATGAAAGAATTCCATGTTTTTTAACCTTAAAAGGGTCGATGTTGAAAAAATAAAAATTTTATAATGTTAGTTGCAGGAGGCTGTCACAACTGATGTACGAATAGAAAATGTATAAAAACGGCGAACCGCAAAAAAAAATTCGAACTGAAGGACAAATCATAAACAGTGCACGGATATTGTGGTCACAAGTCAGAAGCACAACACGGCAGCCCCGGATAACATAAGGAAGTTCACTGATTTCCATTTTTAGTCGATCTAGCTGTCTGTCGTTTTTAAGCTGGACACGTCATCTCTTACTGGCCTACCTCTTTTCTTCTCCATTTTTTCTTCATCTTCTTCTCTCTCTCTCATTCATCTCTTCTTTCTTTTTCTCCCTCCCTCTCTCTCTTCCTCTCTCTTCGAATTTTTCTGTTCTTCAGCTTCCTTCCTCAATCTCATTTTCCTCGTTTTTTTTTCGCACTATTTTGACAAACGATTATCAAGATGTTACTCAAAAAGGTATATGGTATAGTTAGTGGAAAAACTGGGCCATAAAAAATGGCAGCACACCAACCAACATTGCAACTTGGCAGCAAAAATAAAAACATGAATATGAAAAGAATTATAAATTGACTTCCCTAAACGGACATGTGCTCGGCTCAATAATTTCAAAGACATTTCAGATATTTCTTCTCATTCAAACGGGCTTAATAGAATGATATTTCAAATAAACAGCAAAAAAACACATTCTCTTCTGAATAATACCAAATAAGGAGGACAGCGAATTAGTTTGAAGTGGGATGGGAGTGTGGCGGCATGCCATGCTGTAGTCTCTTCATAAGACGGCCAGATTCTCGAAACTCATTGATCATTGGAATGAATTTATATGTAACTTTATTATGAATGTACATTGAGCCTCAACATGATTTAATACATGGCACATTGTGCTAATTCATTAAAAATTTCAATTCTAGAACAACAAACGTTAAGCATCTAAGAGACCCGTGACAGGACTGAAGAAGAAAAAAGAAAAAAAGAAACGCCAAAAATCTATGCTTCTAATAATTTCGTATAACAAAGACACAAACACTAGACAACTACAATAGAACAATTATTATTATTATCAAATCTCAACAAACTTCTTTTGGATGGGAAATTAACATCTGTGAAGCAGCATGTCTTCATGCTTTTGACAGCTCTCACTTATTTGTTCTGACTAGAGGAAACAGAAAGAGCACAACTGAAAACTCAAAAGCCTAACGAGAAAATGATGAGGCTCGTCCTAAAGCAGTTCTTCAACGGTTATTGGGTTGTCGGTCTTTTTCTCCTGTTTCCGTTCGAGATTGACGATCAAGCTCAGCCTCTATTTTCAATTCCAATAGCTGTCTCAACTGCTCGTCAGCAAATTTATCAAGCAATTCAGGTTTCATATCCTAACGTCATTTTCATTAGTAATCCCAATTGAATCATCATTACCTTCCCAACGATTCCTTTCACTATTCCAGAGGTTGACATCTGCTTGGATAAGAGCACACAGTAATCCTAAACATGTTTTGTGATGGGCATGAGTTTCATTATCAAACCGTCCATTCTTGTAGGAACACTTTTGTATGTTCAGGAGAAGCCGTTTGATGACGGCGGAATTCATCCTTGACATAAGAGTCACCCATAAGCCTTGCGGGAGCAGGCAACCCATAATGTAGTCTGAATCACACGTGGAATACGAGAAAATTTGCCATAGCTTGGATGTTGGCTATTGAAAATAAAAATTAGCATAAAACTCTAGCTCAGACGGCATATGCTAATGAAGCGCTTAGTCATTTTGAACGTTGCGGACGCGCAGATCGGTTGAGTGTTTTCTAATAAGAAATGAGTGCGTTACGGACTCCGTCACGTCTCTCGCTTATCAAATAGGTATAATCAAACCTCAGAATTCGTTTGTAGAGAAAGAGAGGGAAGAGCTTGGGATTGACAACCTTCTCAACCACTTTCTTCACAGCCATCGACTAAATAAGGTTAGAAGTGCAATTGTTGCAAGTTAAAGCTTAAATATTCTGTGCTCTCAACACTTCGCTGTGAAAAAACAAAATCTCGGAGAAATTTAAAAAGGTTTATTATACAGTTATTAATACAGAGTCCATTAAATCACAGGAGCTGTTAGTGTTCAACGTTTATGTCTTCTTCTGAAGTCTCCTCGGTAAGCTACAAATACAGAATGACTAAGAGGTATGATAAAGGGGGATAACCTCTTCCAATAGTTGCTCCGGATGCCAAGCTCTATCTAATCTACCATCTAAGTCATTTGGCTTCTCTTCGAGAACAAACTGAAAGTACTGATTGAGTGAGTGCATTTAAGAGTGTATTGTACCTGCTTCAAAATTTCTCCTGAGGGAGCTTTAATAACAATTCTGTTGATTTGCGATCTTTTCGGCTGTATCAGATGATGTTTAACCTCTTCATCACTGTTTATTATTCGCGATGTATATGGATTTTCACGAACAATTCTATTCGCTTAAAGAAATGAGGATTGATCAACTACAAATCTCTCAACTTACTTGTTACAATAGGCTTTGTCAGAAAGTTGTTTGTACAAATGGTGTCCGGAGAAGACGAAACAATCTAAAAACATGAAAACAAAATGTTTTCATCATTTGTTCCTTACTTCACATTCAGCAGCAACAACCATGTCGCTCGCTTCTTGATAACATTCGCTGCTGCTTCCTGGCTGATCATATCCTAAAGTTGCAAGTTGAAGATCATGAATTAGAATATTGACTCACCCTGCATACAAGGCTGTTGGGAAAGGACACCTTCGTTCTGGAAAATTTGTTATCAGGAAAGAAGCCGGAGATACAAGCCTACATTACTATCATAGCCGAATCCATTAACCCGATACTTGTGTGCTAACTCATGTTGATTCCTGGCTGCTCTATGAACACAACAAGTAAAACATGATGAGGAATGCCAAACATACGCCACTTTCTTCTGAAGAGTTGGTCGAGGGATTTTGTAGAATACTGCAGCTTCTGCCACTGTCATCCTCCGACGAATGACCGCTCTGATGGCGTCTGTGAGTTGAGCCCTCGTATAATAACCTCGCACACTAGGAAGACAAATGATGAAAAATTTGTTCAAGAAAGCGAGACTCACGCTTTGTTCTCTCGCTGAGGAGGTGGGAGCTTGCAGGGAAACACATGGAACTTCATATCTTAAAAGAAGTTTGTTGGAAACATAAGTCTGGATTTCACGTATGTACTGTATGGACTGAACCAAATTCCCGATAAAACTTAAGAGCATTCACTTCAAATCTTTAGGCAACAACAGGCAAATGTGAGAACAAATTCGAAAAACACGTAACTAACAACCAGCAATCACAGGACAGAGGTACAATCAAGAGGTGGTGAGGTAGGGAAAGACAGGGAACATTAAATGTAACAGATAACTAAATGTACGATATTTCAAGTTTCTTTTGCAACAAAATCTTCAGGATCGGGAATATTTTCATCTTTGCTCTTTTCTTTGTTTTCTTCTTCATTTACTTCAGTGGGAGCATCTTCAGGGATGTTCTCCGTGATAGACACGTTTACCTTCTTGGTCGAACTAACTCGGGGTCGTTTTGTTCTTTCTGTAACAAATGGAGACATCCTACAATCAACGCCTTCTATTCTCATACCTTCAACATCGACAGACTTCCTTTTTTGCGTTTGACGCACTTCCGGTGATTGATTAGTTTCACTCAGTCTTTTTCCTTTTTTCTTCGATGATGAGGAGTAAGAAATCTATGGCATGGTTATAAGAGTTAGTCTTGTAAGGAAGGTATACCGGCGAATGATCATATTTCCTATTTCGTTTGACTTCACTTCTTTGCCTCAAACGACGAGAAGATATCCCATCAACACTATCTTCTTCATCTAACAAACCAGAGTGATCACCATCACTAGATTCACAACAACGACTACAAAACCACGAATAGTTCGTCTGGAAAGAGAGATAAGAATGGATTCATGTCTGTCAAGCTTTCTTACCTTCTTTGGCATTTTTTCAAGAGGAGGATCTAAACAGGATAAGTGAATCCAAAACTTGCAGCCATCACAATGAATCAACTTGTGCTGGTTATTATTCTGAAAATATCTTAGGTTGTTTGTCATATGCAGTTATTCAATTTACATTTTTACATTCGTTACAAGAATGTAATGTAGGCTTGGCCTCTCCTGACTTCGATGCTTTAGTCTTTCTGTGAAACCAAGATGTTAGTGAATGGACCGAAGCTCAAACTTCTTACTTCGGACTTTCTAACATCAAATGATCAGGAATGGTTGGAAGTTCGGGAACTCCTAAATCTTTGAACGCCGTATGGATTTTGTGAATCAATTGTTTCGCGGAAATTGCGTTGGCATGATTTTCCTGATACTCTTTCTCCAGCTATAAATAACGAGATTGATCAACTATGACGATGTGACTAGCAGTACCTTCTTAAACTGCGTCATGAGAGTGTCTTGCTTCTTCTTCAAATGTTCCACACCAAACTTAGCTTCATCTAATCGCTTTTGCTCCGTGTCAAAGACTTTGTCTTCTCTGTTATTGAAATACTCAACGAAATGTTGGGAGAAACCGGGATACAGGAATGGCAGCATATCTCCTTTAACACGGAAGAACTCCTGGAAGGAAGTTTCCAAAAACGAAAGATTGGATCATGTCTTACCTGATCGAAATCATTTTTCTCCACATGAGCTAACTCCGCCTTTTCTCGAAAAGCTTCTAAATATCGAGCGGAAGTATGTAAATGTCGACTACGTCGAGCACGCTTGTCCACCTCCAATTAAGAAGTTGCAATTAGTAAACCACATGGAACATACCGGATCGAAATTTGCTCCAGGCCAACATATAGTTATCCCAATTAATGCTTTGTTCTCTTTCTCAAATTTTTCCAATGCTTTCAAACGCTGCTCTTCTTCACGTTCGTTCAAAATTCTCCTTCTGATACCAAGCAATCTCCGTTCTTCCTGAACGTACCATTTCAAGTAACTGAAAATCGATTAAGAAATGAAAATATTATTATTTTTTCGTACGCCGCTCTTTTCGCTTTTATTGTATCAGAGTTTGAATGCTTTTTACAACTGATATAGCGTGGTTCAACAGCATGAGCTTCATCCACATGTTCAGCTTCAGAGAGATCAACTAAAAGACCCAATCTAGAAGTATTCAATGAATTGCTGAGCAGAACTATACACCTACTTTTGAGCACAAGTGATATGATAATGATTTTTGCATAGACCCAGTTCACAACGAGTAGCGACTCCAACCCTGGCTTCCAACTTATCAGTGCACGCATTACAAGACTGAAAATCAGTGAGATTGGTAGAGAACACTTTTAAATGATAGAAAATTAATAGGCTAATAGGGCAACAATTCAAAGATTTTCACGTGACGTGAAATTTTACGTGCACGTGGCGTTCATTTTTTCGCAACGCAACGAATGGAGCGGTTGCACAAGCTGTGTAACAATGAAGAAACATAGTACTGGATAAATATATTTCTAATTGCATGCTTTCAGAATCAAAGAAGCTACGAACCTTTCTTCCAAAGTTGCGATGATCCATTTCTTGCCAACTCACGGCACTCAAATGATCAATATCCCCGAATGTGACGCCTCGAGTATACAAAGCACAAATGAGATGAACCCACCGTCCTCCGATATCTAAGAAAAAACTTACTCAGGCTATAGAAAACAATTACCTGAACGTTTGAAAGCACCATGCCTATCAGGACAAAACTCGCAATTTGGAGGTTCAACTAAGCCATATGTGCAAGGCTCACAGAACCAAGGTTCTGTTGAGGCTTCAAAGGTACAATTAGTTCAATATCAATGAGAAAAAAGAAAAAAAAGGAATTAAATAACATACCGGAAGAACACGAGGAAGAAGCGTCATCGACAATATCAGGTAGATAACATGACTCATGTACTGCAACCCCACATCTGAAAACTCACATTGCTTGTTTTCAGCTTAATGATCAGCTGCACCTGTCGCAAATGATAATATCATCGCCTGCACTGCTTTTTATGTTGAAGCACAGAGCACAAATTCTATCAGCACCTTGTATACTCTCTTGGGATGTATTGAGCAAGTCAACAACTGGCAATGTCTAAAGGATAATACTAATTTTATTTTATGGAAGTTTGTAAGTTCAGAGTGATTTAAATAACACTAACCGAATCTTCATTGAGTTCGGCAAGCTCGTTTTCTACTTCAGCGGTTTCTTCATCTTCTTCTTCTTGTCCTTCTTCACCGCCTTCAGAATCAGAATCTTCACTAGAGGATCCTGAACCAGACCCTTCCGACCCGCTTCCAGTTTCTTAAAGCGAACTGATAAGCAAAACACATGTGTCAGAACAATGCGGAAGTTGTTTACAACTTGAGAAGCTTTCAGAAATATTTATCTGGTGTAGATAATGAACGTTTTCGTTGGTTGTGTATGAAAAAAAAGTGGATTGTTTGTGAGAAATCGGATTATCAAAGATTTTGAAGAAGTAATGGTCAAGTGATCTCAATAATGGCTAGAAAAGCAATATGTAACAAACCTCCAACGAAATCCTCATCATCGTCCTCATCTGCAGGAATGACTAGATCCAAAACGGCGGCCGTTGGCTTTATTTGGCGTTTCCCCGGAGCCCTGGCTACTGTAACGAATGTCGTTGAAAGAAGTAAAGGTTATTCTGTGAGTGCTGTTAACTTTGCATTGCATTTTGTGATTCAGAAACATCTATTTGTATCTCAATCAGAGTGATATTTGAAAATGTCTGAGTTTTTCGTGAAGAAATGCTATCTAACCAAAGACAGAGGATAGATTCATGAGATATAGTTCAGAAGTTTCTTAGCATGTGAGATATTGCTTTTCGCTGTTGAAAACAATTTTCTGTTACGAAATTTCCAAAAAGACTACTTTCATCTTCATGTTGATTCATAAAATCTATTCTAATCACTAACAATAACTTTATTTTGGAAGCTTTAATAGACATTAATGTGAGAAATTTTAATTAAATTATGGTAATATGACAATGATAATGAGGAAGAACTTACTTGCCAGCTCGAAAAAACTTTTTTTTTCAGCTTCTGTCATGTTGAGATAGGAAGAAGAAGCACCTATAGATACAGGGTCTATTTGATCTCAGGCTCTCTCCCACTCTGGGTCGCTACTACCACCGCTACGCATACGCCGCGCGTCTAGTGTTTTCGTCGTGTCAAGACCAATTCCTTTTACTTTTTTTTTGAGATGTCCAGAGAGAGAGAGAGATAGATGTAGATAGTAATGTGTCTAGGAGAGTGAAAACATATAAGGTCATGAGGGATAGACAGATAACAAGCTATAGGTCGCTATAGCTCCATTCACTTTGAAAGTATTCAGATCGGGTAAACCTCCTTTCCCCAACTATCATGAAGACATGCTTATAACACATCGGACTAAACTTCGTTCTCATGGCTTTCGTTGCTGAGAACGCTTCTCCAAGTTTCTACATACTTCAGGTAGGCACTGTGCGGAAGCATGATCTGAACACCTTCCCTGGTGGGTGATAGAATGAAGAAGGGAGTGTGTGTGATGGAATGAAGAAGGGAACTGTTTGTAAATGAACACCGCAGAATTTCCGATGCAGGACTGTAATATAGCAAACAAATTCTCACAGAAAATAAGATAACAAACCCGAAATGAACCCCAGACAACAACTTTTTAAACAGTTTAAACTGATTGCTGGACTTATTTTTCAAAACTTAGTAAACAACCGTGCTTCCGTGGCGCAATAGGCAGCGCGTTCGGCTGTTAACCGAAAGGTTGGTGGTTCGAGCCCACCCGGGAGCGAAATCTTTTGAGTATTTGATTAAAAATGTTATGAACTTTAATTTTTATTTGTTTGTGAATAACTTATTATACTATAAGTGTGAATTGTGCGTTCTCAGATCGTGCATGATCACTGTGGTTTGGCTTTGTGAATAATTCGTGCATTGGATAATTTCCATTGCACGGCATTTTCGTGCACACGTCTGCAATTTACTCCAATCTCAATAATTTCCTTTTTGCACCATTGTTTTGTTTTTTGTCTTATTCTTTGCTACAAAAAAAGTGAAGTGTTTCCTTACTTGTGATTCACTGAATACAAACTTCATGGTTGTTTTGGGTTGTCAGATATGAGTGCATTCGTCCAACCTGCGAGGAAATGACTAGTTAACGACCGCTGTTCATGCTTATTACAGTTCTTTGAAATTAGATGGTACAATCAACGATTCTATTTATTCATTCATGCCGTTTCTCATATCTTTTGCATTTAATTGTACGATTCTTATGTACTGCTACAGCTTTGGAATGAAATTTCGTAAAACGTTCATAGTGAGATAGGTTTGGAGATTTGTACGATTCTATCACTTTCAGTGTCTCAAGATGATAACGTTTGGATGCTTCTGATAGTTCTTCTCGAGGAAGCCAGGAATAACTGTAAATCAGTCATATGATGATGTTGTTATAGATAAAACCAACTTTGTTTTGCTACCGTGGCCATCTTCTTCTTGTACGCTGGAGTTGCTGCCAGTATCACCAAATTTCCAAGTACAAGATGGATGCTAATACAGATGAAAGAAGCGTTGGAAAGAGCTGTAAATCATGTGACAGAATAGTATTTGCAACCCTAACACCTATTCAAATTTCAGTATAAGGACATACCAGGAACACAGGCACTGAATGCCATACAACCGAAGATGATGGTAGAAGGAATACCCAACCCAAATACAGTCATTAATGTCTGTCAACAAATTTTCTTACTTTTTGAGGAAATGCTAATTCTACCAAGCGGATTATGGAAGAGGTAATATGTCTCTGATGCACTACGAGCAGCGAAGATCGCGTAAAATTACTGTTGCTTTTAATATTACAAAGCAACACTGCTCCACAAGTAATAGCAATCGTGATATATAGTACTGAGATGAGAATGACATCTATTATCACCAGAAATAAGCTTCCATCCTCTGTTACTAGTAGGAAAACTGCTTTGTCTGTGTACATTATCTCAGGTAGAGCCACGGATAAAATCTGGGGAGCAGAGAGGTAGAATTCAGATCGAAAGATGGAGGAGCAACCAACCTTCTGACACTTTTCGCGTCCTCTATCATTCTCATTCTGGATACTCATACGGATTACAAATAGGGCAACTGATTGAGATACGATATGTGCACAATGAAATGTCATGATAATTCTTTTAGTTCTTCTCTTCATCTTCACTGAGAGGGCGAATACACGAAGAATGGATAAAAGCGCTATAAACCATCCGTTAACTGAAACGAATAGTATATTCAGTGAGTTGATCTCTCGCTCACTCATCACTAAGATGATTTGACTTAATGCTTGGTTGAGCGGACTCATTATCATGAAATAGCTGAGGAGTCCATTTGGATAACCAGCAGTACATGGAAAAAACAGTATTGGGGTACACCCTATCGTCAGAAAAAGTTGAGTTACTCCAGCTCTATGTGTGCTTGTATGGAGATTGTTTCGAGAGCTTGAGAACTTACGTCAAGCCATGACCATGTATTGCGAATCTAGAGGGAAAGCTGAGTCTAGTGGGAACATGTATGAGAAGGTAAAGGTTAGCGAATATTATGAAGAAACCAAGTGAAGACAAACAGTACATAACAGCAATATAAGCATCCATGAAGTTTGTCCATAAACGTGTTTCAACTACTGAATATCACAACGTCCAAAACAGTAAGCAGAGAACCATAGAATTATCTTGATTCTCAGTTTGTTGACTGAAAACACATAGGTGAGAACAGCAGTTGGAACTTCTTGGGGTAAGGTGACTTACAAAAATCATGAACAAATGAATGGTTGCTGCATTTTTCTCCAAAACTGTTTGGGTACATTCCAAATTGGGAAGGATCAAATACTTTTTCAAGCAATATTGATTGCAAGTACTCAGTTGAGGATATAGGTAGGGCACATGCCGCTCATCCATTTCAGTCAGCAGATCGTTTTCTCTTCTACTAACTGCCAATCGAATGTTCGCAATAAAAACATGGATGAAGAAACATAAAAACCCAGTCCTGATCATATTCTTCGCTCAGCTGATTTTCCAAACCGTTGTTCAGTTGGTCTATGGCTTCAACTCGAAAGAAGGTGGAGAAGAAGCTCGGCAGGCTTGTCTCAAGGTTTGTACCTTTTTCATTCGTTGTAACAGTTCTTTCAGATTATACCGTATGAATGAAGATCAGAGCGGTCTATTCACCTCTCTGTATATAGGGCTGACTTCTGCGCTTTATATGGTTATTGCAATTGTTTGTGTTTTCTTTCTCATTAGGAGCATAAGAGAGCAAGCGAAGTCATCACAGTCGACTCAGTTCTTGGCGAATCAGCGAAGAATAACTTCCGGAATCGTCTACTTCGTAAGCTTCTTCTCTTCCACTGAGACCAATGTTCTTCAGATGGTTGTCAAGATAGTTGGCCTGGGCATTCCATTTGTAGTTATCAGTGCCTGTTTTGCTCTCAGGGTGGGAAATACGGGTAAAGTTTTCCTCAGACACCGACCCATAAATTCGAACATCTCAGTGGTGTCTGATTGTTGCTTAATCATCATGTCCATCTATCCTATATTTGGTCCATACTAGGTTCTTAAGTCCAACACAGATTACAGGAACAGAGTGAAAGGGATAATTAGAAAAGGTTGGTTCTTGGAGCTCACTGTGTTGATGTGTACTTCTCGTTATGACTAGATCAAGGTGACATGACACATCTTTCAGCTCAGTAACTGAGATCTCGTACACCGACCAGTTGATCATTCTACTCCTGAAGTGATCATTCATATTGCCAAATCGTGTTCATTGAGCCAGCAATCTCCTGCAGAAAGGATGGCTACAACCCTATGGAACTTAATAATTTCCGATATCTGTTGTCACGACAGTAACAGTCTTTTCGTTCTCAACGTAGCCAACAACACAACCTTCATTTTGAAAAATAAAAAAAAGTTTCTTTCAACAGTTTGTACTGAGTGAGATATACACAGAGGAGATGAAGTTAGCAGAACCACTTGCTCATGGTTGCTCCGAAAGAGATTCACAGCTGAAGAAGTGAAAGGGTCTGATAGCCCGCCAGCTCTTGTTCACTTGCAAACTTCCGTCGAATTCGAACAATAGAAGAGCCGTTTTGACATCTATAATCAGTATCAAAAGCGCAATTCAAATATATAATCAGATTTCGAAAATATGCAAATTCGTTTATCGATCTGTATCTGGGCAGACACCTTGTTTGGAAAAGTTCCAAAATGCACGACGTGCCTTAAGAAACGTGCGTGCAGTCACGAAACTATTTTTGTTGACACGTCATCTTTTAGGTGAAAAAAAGGTTTGAAAAACGCAAAATGGTTATGATATTCATAATCAGAATCAAACGCCCAATTCAAATATATAATCAGATTTCAGAAATATGCTAATTCGTTCATCGATCTGTGTCTGGGCAGACGCCTTGTTTGGAAAAGTTCCAAAATGCACGACGTGTCCTGAGAAACGTGCGTGCAGTCACGAAACTATTTTTGATGACACGTCATTTTTTAGGTGAAAAAAAGGTTTGAAAAAAGCAAAATGGTTGTGATATTCATAATCAGAATCAAACGCCCAATTCAAATATATAATCAGATTTCAGAAATATGCTAATCCCTTCATCGATCTGTGTCTGGGCAGACGC